TTTCTTTCTTTTTTTTTTTTTTTTTTTTTTTTTTTGGGGGGGGGGGGGTGTCAAAACATGAGTGAATTGATAGGCTAATTTATGCGCTAAAGCATTTTGGTGTGTGCTAAAATATACAAGGTTGACCTGTCCTACAGTTGCATACTAAGGCTATGTTTGGTTTGAAGGAAAAGGTAAGGAAAGGACGGAAAAGATATCAAAACCTATATAAGATTTGTAAAGGTTTCTTTACCTTTCCTTTCCTTTTCCTACTTTTTCCTTCAAACCAAACATAGCCTAAAAGTAGGCATATCTGAGCCTTCGTCATCTTCAGAGCCATCAGGCAATTTAAAATTTAAATAGAGGGAATATCTATGGTGCAGAAAAGATATGATATGGAAAGAATTTTGACCAATCAAAATCCACCCATAAATTTTGATAAATAACATTTTATTTGCTACCATGTTTTATGATTTCAGTTTATTGGTCGGTTGTTTTTTTCATATCATAGTCGAAGAACTTCAGACAGCCGTGGGCGTCCAAATATTTGGATCGAATATACATTTCATTCTCATGGGAAACATGGTTAAAGATTTGTACCGAATACACATTTCTTTCTCCTTGGGAATATGGTTAAAGAGCGACTGTCATTCAAAGGAAGCTTCTTTGCATGGTCCGAGTCAACCAAGGCTTAATTCCACGGACGAATGGGAGAAGAAAGATGGAAAAATAAAAAAATTCTGTTCCTAGCCAAGGGTGTCAATGGACCGGTTTTGGATTGGACCTTGTTTAATCTAAAATCAATTTGGATGGATTGGACGGATCAACAAGACATTTTGGATTGGACCAATTCGGTCCAAAATATTTATTAGACTGGATTGGACCTGGTCCGTCCGTAACAAATTTATATTGGATTAGGTTGGATTAAGCCAGTATCTGGTCCATTAATATAAGATAAGAATGTGTCAATAGACCAGGTTTGGATTGAAACCAATCTAAATCAAAATGAATTTGAACAGATTGGATGATCCAGACATTGAATTGGACCAGTCCAAATTGGTCCAAAACATTCATTGGATTGGATTGGACTTGGTCCTTTTATAACGGATTCACATTGGATTGGATTGGATTGGACCAAATCCAGTCCAATTGACACCCGTGTTCTTAGCTTCCAAGGCTAGACCATGGGGCAACCAAATTTCAGTTATCAAAAAATTGGACGCACGGGAAACATGAGACCCTATTTTTCTTCTTTTCATCTTTATCGTTTATAAGAACTGATTGTACAGACCGTGTATGCCTTTTTATACTTTGAAGTATTTTTTTCTTTTTCTTTGCAAAATAAAAAAGAATAAATTAGTTAATCTTCGCTGTAAGATCCATTAACAGTATCTTAATCACGAATATAGTTCTATTTTTTGGGTAAATTGCTGAAATCTCCCCTGTTGTACTTTCTGGCAGTTGTGATTTGGTACCTTACTTTGTGCTAACAGCACTATTCTCCCTTGCATCTACACCCCTCCAATAATGTTAATTGAAGTTGCTGATGTCATTATCTCAATATTTTTTTAAATGTCAAGATTGCCCTTAAATAAAAATGTGGTTATACACTAAATAAAATACTCTAAAAAGTCATCTATGTCATGCTTGAATAGTGGGTTAGAACCCACCTTGACCCTCATCCACCTCAACCCCCACTCTTTGATTTGTATATCCACCACACTCAATGTTTTTCTCAAAACGCAAAAAAAAAAAAGGTGTAGGAGACACAAAAGTTGATAGAAATTAAAAAAAATAAAAATCCAAAATAAAAAATGATATGGTTTTTTTTTATCAAAAATGTATTTCAATCAAAAAATTAGAATTGAAGAAAAACAACAAAAAATGATAAAAAAAATAAAAAATATATATTTCAATAAAAAGTAGAAAAATACATAAAATTCAAAAAATATATATAACTCAACAGACTATACAGAAATTGTAGAAAAAAACACAAATTTTATGAATTTTATGGTTAGTGTAATAAGGAATGGCAAATTTAGAAGCTAATTTACCATTCAAACTATCAAAGTTGGGTAGTTTAGTAACTTTGCCTGCTTCCATCAGCTCAAGATAATGGAAGGGGTGTAAATGCAACATTGTCATAAAGTTTAAGAGAGGACACTACTATTAGGTATTAGCATAAAACAGGGTACTGAATCACAACTGTTAGAAAGAACAGGGGAGGTTTCAGAAAAATAATTTACCCTTTATAAATAGGGACAACAAAATTAGGGATTCACATCTAAGTTAAGAGGTTTTGATGGAATCTAGTGCATTAGTGCTATTATAATTACAACCTTAATCATGGTGACAAATTATGGGGCGTATGGATTGTGGATCCTGTCCTCTCATCCAAAGTTTTGCTTTATAATTAAGCATTGAGTCAATTAACTGCCACGGTGGCCCTAAGTTGATGGTGTGAGTGGGTGCTAAAACCCTAAGTTAAGTTAATATATAGGTTGAACCATGCATAAAGAAAAGCAAAAGCTTAATTAGGGTGCACTGTTAATGTCACCCATTGGCCTGGCATCAATGTTATGGGAACAGCTCTTCCCCTGGCTTTTTGTCTTTTGAGGACAAATGAAATCCAGCGTGATTGTTGGGCTGTTGGCATTCAGGAGATTGACCAATAGCAGTCCATTCAGGTACACACTGGATATTTTGGCACAACCCTTGATTTTTGGATTTCTTACCACCACTGCCACCTAGGTTTTAAAAATTGGATTGGACTGGACATGGAACCGTTTTAGCCATTAGTTCTGGTCAATGATTCGACTATCTGGGTCACTTATCAAATCAACGGTTTCTGGCCCAGAAATGGTTATAGGGTGAAACAGAATCGATTGCCTGACCAGTTTTGAATCAACTGGTCTGACTGTTCGGTCTGGTCCGGTTTTTAGAACATGCTACCACAGGCACCAGTTGTCCATTTTAGTGGTTAAAACAGGAAGGAGGTCAGTCAATCAAGTGGCTCCTTTGGCTTAGGCCACCACTGTCCATTACGCCTATTGAAAGAATGTTATGGAAGGCTCCTCTGGTCTAGTTCCAGCTCCGCATCTCCTATGCGTATTGACAAAAGAAAGTTCTGGAGAACTTTGCCTTGGACAAATCAAAGTCTTTGCCTCTGGTGAAAGAAGCAATTGTTGATTGTACAGTTCCGGTTCGTGTTGAACTTTGAACAGATATAAAGTTTGGTAGAAAAGGGACGATTGATGGAGCAATTATTGACTCTTTTTACTCCGTCGGTTGAATGTTGACAATTGGCATGACATGAACCAAACCGAATCTGCCCCCACAATGTTCCCACAACACATCTTTGCCGTGTATTGAAAACATTTCCCAGTACATCTCATGATCTCTCGTTTGATGCGAATTCTCTTCCAGTCCTCTCCTTTGGCAAACGTATTCTAGTGGGCCCAATTATAAGATTACACCATGTCAATGGGCTGCGGACGAGAAAAGGTATCGAATGAGAAAATCAGTCCTCAAGTATGCCACCTTTAATCAAAGTGGCCGGGCACAACTTGAATTTGTCAATGGTCGTCGGATTTGATCTGATGGATAGACGTGAATTGTGTTACTTACATGAGTTTTGAATATATGTGACGAGCTCGGATTATATAACAGGGTTGGTACTTGGGATTGGTTTTCTTATTGGTTTGCAAATGGGTTTACCCAGAGTCACTCTGACTATGGGTGTCAGAAAATAAAAAACCTATTGAGCGACCTCGTCAAACAATTTTAGCTTTTAGATTGAATAATTCCAGACAAAAGTATATTTGATCATCATCATCATCTAATTCATTATAATCAATTAATTAAGAGGCTGTTTGACAAGTCTTTTTGGATAAATCTTTCAACAGTCCAATAGCCAATAAGACACACAAGTTTTTGGGGCCTTGTCTTTAAAGGCTGAGATTGTATGATTTGCGTCATCGTCTATCGGACTGTTAAAAACAATTAGGAAGGCTATTTTAAGCACAAAAGACCAAAAGCTTCATTTGAAGCTTTTTGATTTTCCATTTTTTGATCTTTCCATATGCTTTGGATATACATGATATACCACATGGAAAAATGCCATTTTTTGGTCTTTTAAGCTTTCCACAGACTAGAAGACACATCCAACACTACCAAAAATTCATGGTCCCACTCTTTGATTTGCTCCTCACACCAACCACACAACACATCCTACCATGTATTGGGAACATCTCCCATGAATAACATACAAACACGGGATGTGTTCCGTGTGTGCATACGGCTGGGAAGTATTGTGAGGTTGGTGTGAGGAGCGCTACCCTCAAGATAGGGTTTCGTGTTAGAGAATAAAAACCTATTAGGAGTTGGGACCCACCCTGGATTTCTTGCCCACATACTCTCTACCTACACTTTACCCATCTTATATTGTGAGATGTGCAGCTGAAATGTACCACAAATAGGGTGCGGGTAGAGAAAGTGAATAGGAAATCTGGTCATTTTATCCATTGCATAACAGCCTAAGCTTTTAGGTTGAAAGGTTACCGGAGAATGGGACTACAATAATTGGGTCATCTTGAGAGAAAAAATGTGATTCCCCAGCAGCATGGGAGGAAGAAGAACAGACAGAAGAGAACAATCAATTCAAAAGATTCTCTCTCTCAAACAAGTATAAGGAATAAGTGCACAACCTCCCCACTTGCCTAGTTTGGGTACCCCCCAGTTTAGACCGCTTTCCTTTTATTTTCATTTTTATAAATTGTAAAGGCATTTCTGGTCACTTTCACTTTCCACGTTACTGATCAAAACCTTCTTCCACACGGAAATTTGGAATACCATACCAAACCCTACCCCACCCCCACAGCCTCTTCAGATTTTAATTTCCACATAATTTAGATTATGGATTTTAGATTTTAGACAACAACCACAACTTCAGACAACCCTAAACCCAACCAACATGCCTCCAGTCATCTGTCCCATTGTGAAGATTTTCAACTTTGGACCAATTAACTTGTGAAGTTATGACTTGAATAATATAGAAACACCAAGCAAACATACAAAGGCAGGCATTTGATGACAACCACAAACACATACAACACGCTTACGGAACAAGATAAAGCAGACAGACACATAAGCTGATGAGATGATCCCTGCAGTCAAAGCTAGCTGAAAGCTCTTATTCTTAAGCTGTTGCAATGGGGCCTAAGTTAGCGGCAGCCTCCATGTTCTTGAAGGCCTCGAACCTGGGTTCCTTGGGCTGAAACTTCACCGTCGCATACAGCTTCATGTAGTCCTCGAATACGAACTTGGGGTACACTTGCTTTGTCTTTTCTGCGTCTTTTTCCACCAATTCTGGGGCCGGGTAGATCACTGCGTCGCTACCGGGGTTATAGAATGATGCGATAGACATCCTGTTACCGTCGGTCTGGGCGACCACCCGGTGTTCCACGCTTTTGTATTTTCCGTTGGTGATCACCTACATGTACATGTCGTCAATCAAATCCAAGACAAACCCAGCTTAATTATTAATTTTTCAGTTGCAAAGCTTGCGACCCAACAAATCATGGCTACCTTATTAGCTAATACTATCCTATGTCAGTGTGTGTCTGTGGGGTGGGGGGCGTACCTCCAGTTGGTCACCGATGTTGACCACAATGGAATGGCGCATCGGGGGCACGTCTACCCACTCGCCGTCCTTGAGGAGCTGGAGTCCACTGACCTGGTCGTCCTGGAAGAGCAGAATTATGCCGCCGGCGTCGGTGTGAGCCCGGAGGCCCTTGATCAGCTCTGGGCTCGGGCAGGGAGGGTAGTTAGCTACCTTGGTGCCGAAGGTGGGTCCTATAGACCCGTAGAAAGCCTTCTTGAGGTACCCTTTCTCCAGCCCAAGATTTTCACAGAGCAAGTCCAAGAGTAGCTCGGCTAGCTTCTCCAATTTCACCACAAATTCCTTCATGGCTTGCCTGCATCATCCACAACCAAAATGAATTGTCTCTCTTCTGTTCGTCGGAAAGATATACAGAATGTGCTATCTCCTCGTTGTCAATACCATCAATGTTATTATACCTGTATTCGTCGGAAAGATCCGGGATCTCCGACAAGTTGGACGCAGGGAGGTGGCGCAAGAAGAAGGTGCTCTCCCAATCCATGTCTGTAATCTCCTTCTGGACCCCTTCAAGAGCCTTGGTTGCCACCGAATCCTTGAACCGCTGCTCCAAACACTTATTGTAGTGCCCTTTAGTCAGCCTCTCGACGGTGTCCATCAACTCGTGAGAGATCCCATGATTCAACAGCTAAAATTACAGAAAAAAAAAAAATCAAAGCACAATCAGCACCCATCTAATTTATATATACTCGTATATCCAACAACATAAACTTTTCATTGACAGCTTTTTCTGAGCTTTTCCACAAAACATATATGCAAAGTGAAGACTTTTCATACCTCAAAGAATCCCCAGTTCTCACAAGCATCTTTTAAGATCTCCATGGTGGCTGCTCTCTCTTCACCGTTCAGTTTCTCCATGTTGATAATTGGGAAGTACGCCATTTCTCTCCAACTGTGAACTGTAGGTGCAGGTGACTAAGTGTGTAAGTGTATGTGTCTCTACCTCTCTTTCTCAAGCTGAGACTCGATGCAGTGGTTCTTGGGGAGGCTAGCTGGGCTCAATTTATAGACGTTTGGAAGGCAGTGAAGTGGTAAAAAAATAAAATAAAACTACAAAAATACAGTAACAATAGATAAGGTGAAGGATGGTGAAGGGTTTGAGCGAGTCTAGCTATCTAGCTATCTATCTAATTAAGTATGGAAAAAAAAGGAGTCGTGGAACAACGTACAGAGGCTTAGGGGGATTGATTATACTTGTTAGGTCTACCGGTCTGGTGACCATCAGCAACTTCAGTCCAGCAGTAATCCATGGTCAATTCTATTCCTTATTGGAACCTCTTACCTCTATCTCTGAGGTGAGACGGGACCCGGGACCCGCTTATTGGCTGCATTCTCCGCTTTCTTTTTTGACGATAGACCACCAAGATGGATATGGCTGCTACTTGCTTTTTTACTTTTCTGTTTTTCCTTTTCTTTTTCTGCATGAGCCATGGGTTTTGTTCGTATGTATGAATGGACAGCAATGGAAGGTGGGTTTCTCTTGCCTCTTTCACTGTCATTGTAATTGCATATATATAAGCAATGAAAACTGAAAATTTTCCTTTTTACCCATCCTTTACCCCAATACAAGGTTTTTAAAATCGGATCGGAAGGAAACCGTTTTGGGTTCAGTTCCCGAGTCGAACAGTCCAAACAAATGGTCTATCTTAACAAAAATAAAAAAACGACTAAAAACCATTATTCAAGTCACTGATTCTGATCAAATCAATGGTTTTTAGCCAAAAGACGATTTTGGGGTGAAACAATTCTCAATTTCTCCGGTCCAATCCGGTTTTAAAAATATTACCCTAATATATAATTAGAATGCAAAAAGAATTGTGAAGAGTGACTGATTGATTATTTTTTTACAAAAGAACTGATTAATTATTGTTTGTGGACCAGTTAAATCAATTTAAATATGATAAATCCCAATTATGCATAGAAAATTAATTGGATGATGAGCAATTTGTTGGGGCAAAAGGTGGCCCATGTTCATGTAAGGGCCAGCAATCAGCATTAACGAACAAGAGTTAGGGACCCTTTTTAACCAAATATATTGTTTTCAAATGGGGCTTAGCTTAGGCTGATGCAAGGTAGGGATTCATGTTTCCTAATTATTTTCATAGGTGGGCCGGGCTCTCTCACGTCGCAAAATAAGAGCTTCATCCGTCACTTGTAATCTTGTATAAGCAATCGTACTCAAATCTTTGACTTCTGAGTCACATATGTAGTGTGTGATGTGTCCTTCGCAAAACCTAAGGTAGGGTAGGTAGTAGACATAATAGAGCAATTACGTAGAACAAATCTTTTCACTACTGTTACAGGTAGATTCAACATATATAACCATATAACCATTAATTAGGACTCCAAAGTTCAGACCTGGTGTGTGGAATGGATTAATGTTTATTTGGTCTTAACCCAGCAAAAGGACTTTATTACCTTGAAATGGCTAAGGTCATAAAATATTTTTGAAGATAAATAAAATAATATCGAGAGATATTTTTTTTTTAGATTTTGAGAGAGAAAGTTGGTTCCTATTGACTAAGAATCCTATGTTCTTTTTCTAGATTAATGTGGGGACTAGTGAATATTTATTTTCCTGTGTATCACTACTTGTGTAAGTGATAACCATCTCCTAGGTGGGTAAATGACTTTCTCACATTGGGGAAAGTTGCCAACACTTGATGAGACAAAAATGCCCCTTTTAATAATATATTTTTATGGTTAAAATGGTCATTACATTTTTTTACGTGGAGAATAAAAGAGCATGGATAAATACACTTACTTGGATAAACGTTTCCCAAGAAAAACTTACTCAGGTAACTTACCAAAAAGCAAATAGGGCCTGAACGTTAAGTCAAAGGCAAGATAGGTTATGTTAGGTCCCTGATAGCCATTGAAAAACACTATCTCTTACGTGGCAATTTTGGTGCCATAACTTGGTTGATGAGATCTAAGTCTCCTAATTAGAAATTACAAGAGAGGGAAGAGTACAGAATGTATTTTATTGGGTGGATGAAACTGTTTCAAGTACCTGGAATAAGAAAACAACTCCAGAAAGAAATAATAATCCATGTTCATAGTATGTAGTGCAACATACAAGCTAGCTTACAAGTTGAGTTGGATGCATGTAAGATATTTGATGTTTGATCCCATACATGAATAAGACGTCTTCATCTTTATCCATACGTTATACTACACATGTAACACCGTCCAACACATCAGCATCCATGCATGCATGACCAATGACCAATCAGTTTTACGTATGTCTTATATGGTTTTCATATATAGTAAGTAGTCTTCCAAAAACACGAAAAAGAGGAAAAGTCATTATGGAAATAAGGCATGTGAAGTGGGTGCAAAATGAGGAGAGCTATAAGTTAACTAGTAAAGGGTGGAAAAGTAGGAGGCAACCCTGCTGCAAAGCAAGAAAGAAGGCAATAATTCTAAGTTAAGAATCAAGAATGTGTATATTTGACTTAGAGTTAGCCGACCAACTCCCCAAATAGGCGGGTTTGGCCGTGCGGGATACAATATTTTTGGAGTCCAAAGTGCATTAATGGTAAGTGTGAATTTGGGAAAATTGGGATTTGATTGAATGGATGTCTTGATTTGAGAATTGAAATGGTGGGGTTGGGAGTTCTCATCAACCCCATTATTGCCTTCCATGTCCTTGTCTCATCTAGTGGCATTTCCAAACATCCTTTGGTCCGTCCATTCATCAAATTCGGCAGAGAGTGAACTTGAATTTGTCATATTCCAAGGGAAGGACGCGTGTTTGTGTGGAGGAATCTTGGTGGGAACCCCCCAGATATTTATCTCTTTCTTTCCACCATCATTTTCAATTCCAAACCTCTCTCCTTGGTCCTCATCGTCCGCTCTGTTATTGTCTATCTGTTTTTATTCTCTCTACTTTCGTGGAGAAAAATAATTTCTGACCTATAATACAGACTCCACGTATTGTGTAGATAAGGTGCCCCCCTTTCCTAATAATACACGCGTCGTCCATATGCATTGTTTCTACGTATGATTGGTCCCACCCAACCAAATGTCAGAAGGAATGAAAGGCAGCTAGCAATACCTAACACCCAAGTGGGGTTTAATTCACAAAACAGCCCAAACCCCACGGCTCCAAAGCAAAAACGAGTGTGGGCGTATGTGGTAATTGGAATCATGGAGGGAAGGTGTCCCTGCCACGAGAGAGGAGAAGCTTACATGCATATATTCGGCCATTATATATCCTCCCATTCTTAGTTAATACACGGAATGTCAATGTGATGGGGTCGTTTTGTAGTAGCAATTAGTGAGCGACGATTAACTGAATGCGATGGCTGTTCAGTAGGCTTTGCAATTAATGATAATGTTTCACGTTAGTAATAAAATACATGGGATGGGCTGCATCTTTTATGGTGGGTTTCATGAATTTATTACCGACATAAAACATTATCATTGATTTTACAATCTGCTGAACAGCCATTGCGTTCGTTATTCCATTGCGATGTGATTGATTTGAATCAAATGGGAACATGCACGGTTTGTGCTTTCCTGGGTGGTCCCATATATTGGGATGCTTGGTTGGAGGAATTGATTTCTTGATTCTGATTTATAAATTTGCTATGTCTGTTGTTGTTGTTATTGTTATTGTTAAATCAGGTGAAGAATTCCATTTAATTTGACAAGATTGATTTTTCAAAAATCAGTAGAATTTTGATTTCCCTGAATTGTCTTGTCAGTTAGTGATTTCACAAACCCTCTCCAAAACTATTTATTCTTGAGGAAATGATTTTAATAAATGGATTCCTCCAACCAGAATACTTCTTTAGTATGCAATGGTTTATAATCTGCAATTTCGATATATGTTTCCTTAGCTTTAATCAATTAGTTAGTAATTTTTAAAAAATAATTTTCATAAAAATTAATAATTCAAGAAAATAATTTTTAGAAAAATTTAATATTTATTAATAATAGTTTTAAAATTTTTATCTACATTTATTATATATTTATATGTACTAAAATTAATGATTATTGTATTTCAGTAATTAGTTATTGTACTTTTTTGATATATATATTTTCAATATTTATGTATTTTTATTTTTTTATTTAACAGTAAATTTTTAATAATTATTGGAGATTAAACTATTGTTATTTATTTATTTTTTTAATTTAATTTATTATACATATTAGATTTATTGTATTTTTGTTATGAAATTATTATCAATACTTATGTATTGTCACTATGATTTATTGATAATATTAATTAGAGATTAAACTATAGTTGGATATTACACTATTTATTGATTACTTTATTATATTTTCAGTATTTATTGTATTTTATTTTCAATAATTATTTATTATTTCATTATAAATTTATTTTCAATAATTATGCATTTTCCCTATAAACTTTTAATAATTATTGAACATTATACCATAGTTATTTATTACAGATTAGACTATTAATTAGTTGAAATTAATTATTGATATTTGTAAAAAAACATTAAAAATAGTATATAAAACATAAATAATCACTAAGTATTTAAACAAAATATAAAAAAAATCTAATCTTATTTATTTCTATTATTTCACTTTCATTTAACAAATCACTCGTCCCCACTAATATTAAAAGCAATAAGTGGGTTTCATCTCTGATCAAATTATATTGGATAAGCTGATAAGCAAGAAGTTCGGTCAAGTCAAATTAGGGTTTTTTTACCAATCATGAATGATCTACTGGTCGGTGGATGTAGGAGGGGAGAGAGAGAGAAATGAAGGAGGAATGACGTAGGAGAGTGGGTCATCTTTGGTTGTCGTTGATGTCGAGTTTCTTGATACCAGAACCAGAAGAGCTCGGAGTATATGATGAACACACTACAGAACGAACATGTTCTATTATACTACAGCAACAACGACGTGTTGTTAGGATTAAACTCTGAATTACCGATTAATTAGTATGGCAAACAAGAAAAAAAATTGAGGAATATGTGAATTATAAAGCAAATAATAAGAGCAAAAGAAAGGTAAAGATG